CTGGTGAACTTGTTTCATTCACCCTCCCATCTTCCTACTCGTTCCTCCTGCTCCTCTTCTTCGTGTTCCTCTTCTTTCTCCTCCTCCTCCTCCTACTCCTCCTCCTCCTCCTTCTCCTCCTCCTTCTCCTCCTCCTCCTCCTCCTCCCCCTCCTCCCCCGATGTGTGACTGTGTATGTCGCCGTTGCTGCGAATATCTTCTTTCTGCTGCGCGACTCTGCCACCCATGCACCATGCAATTGCTACAAGATTCCCCAACTGTGAGAAGACAAGCACACGAACAAACAACCGCCCATCCAACAAGCAAAACAACAAACAGATAAACAAACAAGCAGAGAGCCACCGAACCTCACCAAACATTTTGGCTGCCGTGGCCGCGAGGGGCAGTCGCGGAAGCGTCACCGAAGAGCCGCAGGCACAGGGGAAGCAGCGAGGAGGACGAGGAGGACCGGGCATTGCCAGCGGCAGAGAGCGGCAGGGAGAGGCAAACGGGCACGGCGTCGGAGCGATCGCCACACGGGCGGCAGGTCGGGCGCCCACCGTCCTGCGAGGGCAGCCATCATTGGGTCGGGCATGTCTCCCTACAGGCGGACTTTGGAAGAAAAAACAAGTGGTCAAACAAATACTCAGCAAATGCTCAAACAAAAACTTCAAAAACGTCCCCATACTATTCCTCCACTATTTTTGGATACTCCTCCTGTAGAGGGACACCCCCGACTTAAAGCCATCAGCACACTCGCGCGCCGCGCGGCGCGCAGGAGCGCGGAGCGCGACTCCCCCCGCCGCATCGCGCGGCCACCCTTGAGGAGGGCAGCGCTCCACCCCACGGCCGCGGCGCGAGGCGGCTCGACGTCCAGGCGCACCGGCAAGGAGGGCATGGGCCTGCGGACTGCTGGAACCGTGATCCCCATCCCGCCACGGCCGCTGCGCCTGCTGCTCATGCCGCGGTCTGCGGAGCAAGCGTCTCTGTCGCCGCGACGGCTTGGCAAGGGAGGCGACCGCGGGAACGGACCCTGCACCGCGCGAGCCCCGAACGAGCGCAGGGCCTGTCTGTTCAGCACGCACCCGACAACCTACTGTACATTCAAGCTACTGCCATAGGAAATGCTAAATGAAGAACTAAGTGCCGTTTCAACGCCAAAAGCGCCTGAGCGCACGAGGGGAGCTACTGTAGAGGAACAACCAAGGAAAGCGAGCGCTTTCCAAACCCGAATTATTCCTTATTTCACCGTCTTGATTGTAATCGCTACCGATGGGAACGATCTCCTGGAAGCCGCAAAGCCAGTGGACCCGGACGTCAACGTGCATTCCTGCTACCCGCGGTCGCGCAACCAAGCGTCACGGTACGGTGCCAGCGTTCACACAAGCTCCATTCAAGATCTGCTGCGGCCGGTCCGGGCCTGCCAAGGGCTCGCCACCGAGCCCCATGGCACGTCAAGGCGTGGTAGACTGCAAAGTGCTATCTGGTAGGGTATGTACTATCACTCTAAGCCCCCCCTCCATTGTGAACCGACGTTAACGGCCAATGAGTCGAACCTACCGTGTGGTCCGTAGGTAGAGGACAATGAGGAAAAAGATGGGGATCTTTTACCCTCGCAGAAGGAACCTGCAGGATATCCAATGCGTTCAATACCCAAGCCGAGAGGATAACAGGATAGATGGACAGAAATGGGAGATGGGCGGTCTTCACACACACACACACACACACATACACACACACACACACACAAACACACACACACACACACATACACACACACACACACACATTGGTCACACTTCGCTGCGTGCATCGCACCCCCCCCCCTTCCGAGCAGGCCAGACAGGGCCCCCACGCGCCAGCATGGGCTGCGTACCCGAGCGGGTGGCGCTGGCCCACTGCGGCTCGACGAGGGTGCACGGCTCGCGGGCATCATCATCACTCGTCCGAGTGGTTCCCGCCGTCTGGGCGCGGTCCAGAGGTGGTCCAGACGCTGTGGAGGCGCCTCTCTCGTCCTCCAAGGGAGCTGGTGCCCCCTGGGGTGCTCCCCGTCGCCTGCAGCTGTGGCGCAGCAGGCGTCTGCGGGGTAGGGCGCTGCGGTCCAGCAGAGGGACCGCTGGCGCTCGCAGTAGCAGGTCAGCGCAGTCTGCCAGGCGGGCCCGATTCCTGCCGTCCTGAGCCCGCGTCCGCTGGGTCCACTCCTTGATCCGTCGACTCCTGTCTTGGCTCGCACGACGGCGGCACTTTCGCGCGCCAAGGGCTCGTGGGGCGCGTAGGCACGCTGCAGGTTGGACAGCAAGGCCGCTTGCAACCTGGTCGGGCCGAGCGCGGAGACTATGGGGCGGTGCCATTGTGACCCAGCGCACACTGCGATCCAAGCGTGTGGGCTGATCCCTGCTGAGGTCGGTGACACAGTGACCACCTGGAGATGCCCACCAGGGTCGTCGCGCGAGGCGGATCTGGGCCACCACCTGGCCCGGATGGCACTCCAGACGGCTCGGCAACGCGTGGAACCTGTTAGCAGAACCGTCGTGTGGAAGAGCCTTCAGCACCGCTTTGCGGAAGAGGGTAGGGGAGAGGGAGGGAGAACTGGAAAAAGGGAAGACAGAGGCGGCCCCAGCTCGGACGGGTGTCCAGGGTATCCGCAGAGCACGCCTGCAGCATGCCCAGGCAGTGATGAGGCTGACTGCCCGGCCGACCGAGAGACTCAGAGGGCAATCGCCACTGAATGCCTGGGCTCGGCATGCGGCTCGGCATGCGGCTCGGCACGTCACTGCGAGGCTGCGGGCTGCGGGCTGCGGGCTGCAGACAGCAAAGGGGCGCACGCGGCTGCCGGCGGCGGGCTGGCGACGGGAGGGTGAAGGTCCGAACGGATGTCTTGGATCGGCGCTGGATCCTATCCCGCACTCCAACTGCGAGGCCGAAGGCGCCGCCAAGGGTGGGGCGATGGCCCGAAACAACAACAACAACAACAACAACAACAACAACAACAACAACAACAACAACAACAACAACAACAACAACAACAACAACAACAACAACAACAACAACAACAACAACAACAACAACAACAACAGCCTCAACAACAACAACAACAACAACAACAACAACAACAACAACAACAACAACAACAACAACAACAACAACGACGACGACGACGACGACGACGACGACGACAAACAACTACAACAACTACAGCAACTACAGCAACAACAACAACCACAACAACCACAACAACAATAACGACGACAACAGCAACAACAGCAGCGACAACAACAGCGACGACGACGACGACAACAATAATAACGGCAACATCGACAACAACAATAACAACGACGACGACAACAATAACAACAACACCAACAACAACAACAACAATGACAACAACAACAGCAGCAGCAGCAACAACAACAACAACAGCAGCAGCAGCAACAGCAACAACAACAACCACAGCAGCGACGACGACGACAACAAGATCATCAACAACAGCGACAACAACAGCAGCAACAACAACAGGAGCAATAACAGCGACAACAACAACACAATAGATGCAGTCCCCGAACAGTACCTGCACTGGGTTCTTACGTACGTCATTCGATAGTTGAACGGGTGTGTCGAGGATTCGCTCCGAGGCCACCCGTCGCCGCTCGTTTTCGCCGGGGTGGCGTCGAAGATTTGCCTCGTGGCCGCTCGTGCCCGCTCGCCGCCACTCGCAATCGCCGCTCGTCGCCGCTCGTAATCGCATGGTGGGTGGGCCGAACATTCGCCCGGTGCCCGCCCGTCTGCCCGCGCCCGCTCGTCGCCGCTCGTCGTCGCCGCTCGTCGCCGCTCCCTGTCGCTGAATCGTTGCGTCGAACATTCGCCACGTCACCGCCCGTGCCAGCCCGTTGCCGCTCGTGGCCTCCGAACGTCGCCGCTCGTAGTCACCAGGTGGGTGTCCAAGATTCGCACACTGCCCGTTCGTCCTCACTGGTGGTTGCTACTCGACGCCGCTCCTGCTCGCTGGCGTGTGTGCGCGTGCATTTGTGTGTGCTTTTATGTGTGTGCGTGCGCGTGCGTGTGCGCGTGCGCGCGCGTGTGCGTACGCGTTCGCGTGTGCGTGTGCTCGTGCATGTGCGTGTGCGGGCACGGGTGCAAGTGCGGGTACGTGTGCGTGTGCCTGTGCCTGTGCGTGTACGTGCGCGCGTGCGTGTGCGTGTGCGTGTGCGGCGTGTGCGCGTGCGTGTGCGCGTGCATGTGCGCGTGCATGTGCGTGTGCGCGTGTACGCGCGTGCGCGTGCACACGTGTACGCGTGCGTGTGCGTGTGCGTGCGATCGTGCGAGTGCGAGTGCGAGTGCATGTGCGTGCGTGTGTGTGCGGGGGGGAATGCGCGTGCGTGCGTGTGCGTGCGTGTGCGCGAGTGCGTGTGCGCGCGCGCGCGTGTGAATAAGTTTGCGTGTTTGCGTTTTTTGGCGTGTTTGCATGTGTCTGTGTGTATGGGTGTGCGCGAGCGTCTGTGCACCCCTATTGGCACCTCCATCCGCCGTCCGCGCCTGAAGATCCTCTGCGCCGCCGACTTAAAATATGTGTGTGTGTGCGCAGGTGTGCGTGGGTGTATAGATGTGTGTAGGTGTGTGGGTGTGTGGGTATGCGTGGGTGCGTGTGTGTGTGTCCGTGTAGGTTTGTGGGTTCGTCGTGTGCGCGCGTGCGTCGTGCGCGGCGCGTGCGCTGGTGCGCACGCGCGCGCGCACGCGCGCGGGCGCGCGCGCATTCGCCCACCCCCCCGCTGTCAGCCGCAACACCGCATCCGCGCACCAACTCGAGGCGGCCGCGCGCCACGCAAGCAATACTGGCGGCGGTGGCCGACGGGGCGGCACGCGGGCACACACCAGAACGCACGCCACTCTGAAGCACCGCCCGTCAAGGACAAGCCCCTTCCAGGCCCTGGCGGCACAGACCGTTGCCAAATTTGCGCGTCGCATCACATGGGCGCGAACCAGCTTCCACGACACCGCCCAGCAAGCAAGCGCGCACGCAGCCG